GGGTTCGATTGGTTAGTTGGGGTGGTGATAAATGGCACATGTTTGGTAGGCGTATTGAGGCGATTCAGAAGGAGCTACGATTGTTACAGGGGTGTAACGGTGAGGGGAATTTAGTTGTGTTTAACCGTTTGAATGGTGAGTTGCAGCAATTGGTGATGCAGGAGGATGTTTTCTGGAAGCAGAGAGCAAAACAACACTGGTTTGGGGGGGGGGGGTTATGTTAACACGAGTTATTTTCATCACTCGGCCTATGCTATGCGGAGAAAGAATCGGGTTGTTAAGCTCAGGAAGGAATGGGATGTTTGGGTGGAGGGTGAGGGGTTGAGGGCTTTAGTAGTGAATTATTTTGAGGGTACTTTTCATATGAGGGGTTGTTAGGGGGAGGAGTTCTTTAATTGTTTGTAGCCATGGATTACTGAGGAAATGAATGTTGAGCTACTGAGACCTTTTCGGGCTGAGGAGGTAAGGGATTCAGTTGTTGCTATGTTCCCTAGTAAGGAACCTAGGCCTGATGGCATAAACCCGGGATCCTACCAGGGTTTCTAGGAGGTGGTAGGGCCTAACATGACGAGGTTTGTGCTTGAGTGTCTTGAGACTCGTCAATTCCCAGCTGAGTTAAATGATGTTAATGTGGTTCTTGTGCCAAAGAAAAAAGTCCCTGAGATGGTTACGGACCTTATACTCATTTCTCTTTGTAATGTTTTCTATAAAGGTCATGGTGAAGATGATTGAAAATAGGATGAAGGGTTTGTGTGAGGGTGGTGGCTTTGGAGTCTTAGAGTGATTTTCTTCCGGGTAGGCTCATAACGGATAGCATTTTGGTGGCCGCGGAGGTGGGACATTATTTGATGTGAGCCAAATTGTGCATATTTCTTGAATTAGTTTGATCATGTTTGTTGGGTTCAATTCCATGAAAATGGTCATTTAATGGCATAATCCCTTGTTTTGTCGTTTAGATATGCTTCACACTTGTTTTGAATGTTTTATGGTGTTTGTTAGTATTTTGGAACCATTGTAGGTCAATTCCATGAGCAAAGGGAGTTCTAGGACAAGTTTGGAGCCAAAATGGACGAGTTGAAGCCCAGAAGGCTCGACGCGTCGAAAACACACGGATTGCACTTTCGACGCCTTATTTCGACGCGTCAAGACAATCGGTTCGACGCATCGAAAAAAAGTAGAATGCCTTGTTAATTAAATTATTGCGCATCGAGCGGCGTTTATTTGCAAATCGAAGGAGCGGCGCTGAATTAACAAAACTGCATTAATTCTCCAAATTGTATGGCGCTAGTTCTAAGAAAAAGGTGGGCTGCAATATATTTCCAAATCATTAGGGCAATAATTTCCAAAAAAAAAAAAAGAAATAGGAGAAATCCAATTTCGCCCCATTTTGACTCCTGCTATAAAATCTCGTTTTGGTTCAACCCTAGAGGATTCATGCTCAGTTTTGGAGACAAGAAAGAGGAGAATTGAGAGCTACAAAGTGTCTTGGGAAGCAAGGAGAAAGCCAAAGAGATTTGGGAGAATCGCTTGGTCAATTCTTATACTCTTTAGATTATCTTGTACTCTTAATTATTGATATGTATTGCATCTTAGCCATGTGTGGCTAAGTTTTCTTTAGAGATTCTTGGGTAAAAGTATTTATGAACCTATGTGCCTAGTTCTTTAATGCTTTAATATATTGTTATTTGGGTTTATTACTTGTGTTGCAATTCTGAATTGTATTGTTGTTGCTAGTAGTTTAGGGCCCAAATTACTTGCTTCATAGCTTTGTTTGTGTCACAACGGGAGTTGGACATAATTTAGGGCACACATAATTGCACCTAACTATTACTCCTTGGGAGAGGGTAATTTTGTTAGGGAGTTTAATTCTTGATTATTGGACATCAGAAAATGGTAGTAGTTAGGAATTTATTTTGATGCATGATCTTGGTTTATTGGGTGATTATACCACGGGAGTGGATATTCATTAGTGTTAGGGACTACGGGTGTAACACCCCGTGTTACGGCCTTTAATCCCGGATTAATTATTTAATTAATTCCGTTAATAATAATTAAATTGGATTTAATTTGGTTAGGATTTCCTCTAATTAATTAATGTGGTCCACCATGGACCGTGGATCCTTGTCTGAACTATAGTCTTAAGCCTATTAGGAATAAAGAGAATAGACCTTTTACTAGTCAGATTCTAATTAGGAATCCTAAACCTATATATCTATTAGGGATAAAGAAAGTAGGCCTTTACTATTCAGATTCTTATTAGGATTCATGGTTCTATAAATAAGGGGTTAGAAAGCAATTAGAACCCTTACCACCCATAGTTATATTACACGAAATTATTCCCAAGAGATTCCCCACCACCAAGCCTAGGGAGATCAATCGGATGGAAATCTTAGGGAAGAACCTTAATAGCCAAGGGATGATTAATTAAGGCTAAGAGGTAACCCATGTCTCAACAAAACCTATTTTCCTCGCTATATCTTATTCATTGACTCCTTTGATATATGATTCTGTGCTCGAGTCTTGATAAAGCTTTTCCTAAGATTTATATGGTGTTCGTGAGATAATCTTGATGATTATGTGTTAATCTTGATGCTTATGTGATAATCTTGATGTTCTTGATACCATGATAAGCTATATGAATGATCTTGTATTTTGATTATGACTAGAGCCCTAGGGTACTAAACGTGGATTTCGTATTATGTGGTTTTGGTATGTTCGGGTGGGATTTTGCATGTTCGGGTGTTGAGTCTTGGCATGTCTAGGAGTTGTGTTAGGATGTATTTGGTGTGATTCTTGGTTCAACTCCGTTACTTGAATACGTGGTGTCGTCGTTTGTGTTTGAATGTGTCTGGACAGGGTTTCGGGTTCCACGGAGGATTCTGGGACCAAAATATTACATAGGAGTCAGTGGGGGGTAGGTGGGGGCAAGGGTGCCCGCCACATACCCGCTGCCCCGTGCCCTCTTCCCAGCGGGCAGCCGGCGGGCAGGCGACTGCCCGCCGGGCACCCGCTGGTTTGTGCTCCGCCGCCGGCGGGTGGCCCTCCACCCGCCGGGCACCCGCTGGAATGTTGGTGCAAACCATGGTGGTTTTTCCCGTTTGATGTTTCCCCGTGTCTCATTGTACCCCGTTTGTCGTATGTGAGTCTAGTTTGATGTATCGGGTACCGTTCTTAGGATAAAAGAGTCTTGTGTATTGCATGCTAGTTGAATTGGTATCCCGTTGGCCTAGGAGAAAGGTGTATGATCCCTTAGAAGTGTCATGAGTGGCTTAATGCGGTGAGTTACGTAAGGGTTATATTAGGATAAGTGTTCCCCGATGATTCCCCCTCGTTATGTGTTAATGTGGGTTGCATGTTGTTTGGCTTCTATGTTATTTGTGCATGATAGCCCAATTGGTTGCGATCAATTGGCTATAATGACTATCTGATGGGTTGAGAACCATCAGGTATTAACCCGACCGGTTGCGATCGATCGGCTATACAGGCAGTTGGATGGGTTGAGAACCATCGGCTGTTATATATATATATATATATATATATATATATATATATATATATATATATATATATATATATATATATATATATATATGGCTGCGGTCTATAATCTGGTTGCGATCAGATATACATGATAATAGGGTTGCAGTCCACCGTTTGGTTGCGATCAAACGTTATGATATAAATGAGCTGCGGTTCATTGATTGGTTGCGATCAATCCCCTTGTGATGCGGTACAAGTAAGGTGCTGCGGGGCCATGTCAGAGCTATATGCACTGACCTTCGTGTATGGGCACGTGAAGGGTCCTGCGGCACCACCATATGTGCATACATGTCTTATTGTTGATTGTGACTGAAATAGTAATTGGACACTGATATGATTGATATTGGATAGTCTTGTGACCTTAGGATGTGTGTTGGAATCTCTATGTGCATGATTAATTATATTGAATGTGTCTGTTATTGCTTGATTGAGTCTACTCTCGATTTTAAATTAGAGTTTCATAAGTATATACGTATTCCGGCTTCAAAATGATTTTCCCTTATATCTACCTATATTGCACTTAACGGGTTGGAGTGGGTTACCAGCATTATTCGCTGAACAGATATTATTTGGCTTTCAGGTATAGACGAATAGCTTCGGAGCGCGCTAGTTGGATTCGTGGACTTAGTTTAGGTAGTTCTAGCCTGGATGAGATGGCCTGCGTGCCTTGATTTGTATTTGGGTATTAGTTATGGCTTATGCTTTGTTAGTTAGTTTAGCCTGTGCATCTGAGTTCTCCAACTCGGATGTGGCATAGCACCCCGACCATTATGTCTAGTTTATACTCTGTTTGGGAATTAATAATAGAATTGCCTTTATTCCATAAGCTTTAAAAATTTTAAAAATTAGGGGTGTTACAACAGGAGTAGCTCTATACCACTTTGTATCCTCACACTCGTATTATCCCAGATTTGATATTGTCCTTAAGTTTGGCACTAGGTGATTAAATACTTGAATCCCATGAATCTCATCATCTCTCTATTGATTTCAAAACCTGAATCTTGCTTTTACATTTGTTTTATTTTTAATCAATCATCCATCTCTTTCGTTAGGATTAGCTTCTCGTGAATAAATTATTAGCTAGTGCTTAATACCCCACTTTCCCGTGGATCGATAACTTGGTACTCTAGGTATTATTTGTTTAAGAAATATACTGCACACCAAATTAGCGACGTTGCCGGGGAAGTGGCGTTTCAGTATTAACATTAGTGAAAGTTCTATTCTTGAAGTCTAATCCATTTTTATTTTTGTTGTTTTATTTTATTTTAGCTAACCTATAACAAGTTTCTGTTGTTGAGTTGTGTTCACTTGATCTGAGAACGTAGCTTTGTATGTGTACACGATCTTCAGGTATAGAGGTATTATTACCTTTGAACCTAGAGATTGAAAAGAGAGCCAAGTTTCTTAGAAAACAAACCAGGATGGCACAGGTACAAGGAATCCAAGCCGAAGAAAGATCCATGTCTGACTACCTTGCTCTGGATATTGAGGAGCATGGTAGCATCAATATTCCAGGAGTGGAGGCCAACAACTTTGAGATCAAGCCGGCCATACTAAATATGGTTGCTTCGGATCAATTTGGAGGGTCACCCACGGAGGATCCGAATGCTCATGTCACAAAGTTCCTACGAATTTGTGGCACCTTCAAAATGAATGGGGTCACGCATGAAGCTATCGGGCTTAGGCTTTTCCCTTTCTCACTAAAGGACAAGGCTGATGATTGGCTTTCCTCACTTCCATATAATCATTTTGACACTTGGGTAAAATTACATGGATAATTTTTGAAGAAGTTCTATCCAATCTCAAAGATTCAAAGGATGAGAAGGGCAATTCAAAACTTTAAGCAACAGGAAACTGAGTTCCTAACTGAATCTTAGGAGAGGTTTAAAGAGATGAGGAGGCAGTGTCAACACCATGGGATTAAAAGTTGGGATTTGATGATGGCTTTTTAGGAAGGATTGCTTGATAATTCTAGGATTTTGGTGGATGCTTCTTCGGGTGGTTCATTCACAGTTTTGGAGCCAACTCAAGCCGAGGAACTATTGGAGAAAATTGCTATGAATGGGTCTACTTGGTATTCGGATAGGTCTTCACAAAAGCTTGTGGGAGGAATTCATAAGGTGGAGCAATTTTCCACTTTGTCAGCCAAGGTTGATAATGTGACTTCCATGGTCCAAAAGCTTGCTCAAATCACCCTATAAAAGCAAAATGTGAGTTATGTTTCTACCCCTTCTTCTTTTGGTCAAGTTTTGATGTGTGATCTTTGTAGTGGTGGGCATAATTCGGGGGAATGTCTCAATGAATTAAGTTCTCAAACCACTACGGAGCATATAAATTTAGTGGGGTACAATAGGCCTCCACAACAATCCTTCCAATCTCAAGGGGCCTATAATCAAAACACTGAAAGGAACCACCCTGGTTTTTCATGGAGTAACCCAATGGGGGCTGCCAATCCCCAACACTTTGCTAATAGGGACCCCCCAGGTTTTCAATCTCAATTACCCGCATTGGAGGCTCCACCACAAGCAAACTTGGAGGCCATGATGAGCATGTTATTGAAATCTCAAATGCAAAGTGATGAGAGGATCAAACAAATGAATGAGAGATTGGAACAATTGAGCACCCATAACAAGATACTAAAAAATCAACTTGCCAATCAAGCTTCTACATCTAGCACGAGAGTCACTGGGAAGTTGCCAGCTAGTACTGAAAATTCAAGGGAGCATGTTAATGCAATTGTCACAAGAAGCAGCAAGATACTTGAAGAACCACCCCTTCCAACCAAAAACTCAAGTAACACTATTGAAGAGGAGATTGAAAAGATACTTGATGAGGAAGAAGTTGAACCAGCTGTTGTGAAGAATAATCCACAAGTTCATGAGGAGGTAGAGAAGCCCGTGAGAAGGTATGAACCACCATTGCCCTTTCCTAAAAAATTACAAAAGCGAGCAAAAGAGAGTAGAGAAAAAGTTTTTGGAGATAGTTGAGAGTTTGAAAGTTTCAATTCCCTTACTTGATTTTCTTTCACAAGTTCCATCTTATGAAAAAATTTTTAGGGACATTCTCGCCAAGAAGAAGAAATTTGGTGATCATGAGATGGTGGCTATTGCACAAGAGTATAGGGCTTTGACACGTAGTGAAAGTAGGAGCATATTGAAGCATAGAGATCCGGGAAGATTCGCAATTCATGTTTTATTGGAGGTCGTATGATAAAAAGTTCCCTTTGTGATCTTGGAGCTAGTGTTAATGTTATGCCCTATCATTTTGTAAGAAGTTGAATTTGGGATAGCCTAAACCTGTCCAATTTACATTGACATTTGCTTATCAGTTTACTACTAGTCCAATTGGAATTCTTGAGGATGTTCAAGTCTATGTTGACAAATATTTTGTGCCTTGTGACTTCATTGTGATAGATGCCCCAGAGAACCCCGATACTCCCATCATCTTAGGGAGACCTTTCTTGGTCACAACTGGAGCAATAATTGATGCAAGAAAGGGGTCCATGATTTTTGACTTTGGAGAGGAAAAAGTTGAATTTAATGTTATTAATGAGCCAAAGACCACTGGTGTTAAAGATTGCTCTATGATTCATAGCAAGCCCCTTGACATGACATTGGAGCATGCAAAGTGGAACAGCTTTTTTGGGTATGGATTCACTCTCGAAGATCTACCAGATTGAGCACTCCATAACGACGTTACGTCGAGCTAACGACGTTAAACTTAGTGCTTCATGGGAGGCACCCCATTTTATCTTTTCTTTTGCAGTATTTATTGCTTTCTAGTTTCGTTTTATTTAATTTTATTGCTTTCTAGTTTAGTTTTATTTAGTTTTATTGTTTTTTAGTTCGTGTTATTTTTGCTTTCTCTTTTCTTTTGTTTTGCATCAGGGACGATGCAAATTTTTAAGTGTGGGAGAGGAGTCATTAATTTGGGGATATTTTTTTAAAAAATTACTTTTGCTTGGATGACTCATATGCTATTTTTGGTGAATAAGTTACTTGTCTCAGCATGCAATTGCAATTACTCTCTCTTGTTGGTTTGTGGTTTGTTTTAGTGGTACTTGTTGCAATTCAATTTGTGATTGATGATTTGAGGTGTAACACATAATTGATCTATTCCCTTACCAATAGCTTTGTTAACCACTTAATAATTGGATTAATTCTTGATCTTGTGTTATGCATTGCTAGTGAAGGCTTATGAGAGATTCCGGTCATGGGTGTTTTGCTAGAACTTGCCTCATTACTCCCTAAGTGAAGTCTAAAGTATTGCATATTTTGAAGTGATTTAGGCCATTTTTGTTTAGCCATAGCCTTTAAACATGTCCCTACATATGTTTTTATCCTTTGTGTCCCCATTGTGCATCTCGTTTCTTTAAATAAGTGCTAAGCACTTATCCCCTCATTGTGATTGTTTTTCTTTGTGTTACCCCCATTATTAAACCTTAGCTCTTAGCCAAATGTTTTCCTTCCATCTTTTGAGAGAATGAAACTTTTATCTTTATTATTCCTGTAAGAAGAGTTTTTATGGAGCTTGTGTCTAAAAAGTAATTTTTGTACAAAAGTTCAAGTGTGGGGGTCTTGATTGTTGGTTTAAAGATTACTCCTTGAGAAATTGATGTATTCCAAAGAAAAGAATAAAAAGAGAAATCATGAAAAGAGTAAAGAAAAGAAAAGAAGGTTGAATGAAGATTGAAAGTTTGATTGTTTAGACCCCCACTTATTTAGAAGATTGATTTGTTCTTGAGTTGAAATTCTACTCCTTTAGTTGTTATTGTCTTATATCTTATAAGGTTTTGAAAAGAAAGATAATTATGAAGTTCTCTCCTTTGTGTATTTATCCATACTACTTCTTTGTTAGTCATACACCCTTAGCCCCATTACAAGCTTAACAAAGACCTATTTGATCTTATCATGCATTCTTAGAGTTGAACGAATGAGAGTATGAAGGGCAAGCCTATGAGATCTCATTCATGACCCGTGTTTTGCATAATCTCAACTTAGTATTTGTGCAGATTTGATCCTCACACACTTTAATAATTCTTGGTACTTGGTTATTGGCTTGAGAATGGGTCTTATGTGTCAAACAGATTTGATTCTTGAAGCTTGTTGTTTTGTAGCAAGTTGCTTGGTGGTTTGAAAGGTTGTGCAAGAGAGAGTAGGAGTAATTTGTATGCTTGACTTGTGATTTATTTCATGGTTTTGCGGGAGTTTGATGTGAGCCAAATTATGCATATTTCTTGTATTAGTTTGATCAGGTTTGTTGGGTTCAATTCTGTGAAAATAGTAATTTAATGGCATAATCCCTTGTTTTGTCATTTAGATATGGTTCACACTAGTTTTGAATGTTTTACGGTGTTTGTTAGTATTTTGGAACCATGGTACGTCAATTCCATGAGTAAGGGAAGTTCTAGGACAAGTTTGGAGCCAAAATGAACGAGTTGAAGCACAGAAGACTCGACGCGTCGAAAACACGCGGATTGCACAGATTTTCCGACGCCTTATTTCGACGCGTCGAACCAAGCGGTTCGACGCATTGAAAAAAGGCAGAATGCTTTGTTAATTAAATTGTTGCGCGTTCGACGCGTCGAGCGGCGTTTAATTGCAAATTGAAGGAGCGGCGTTGAATTAACAAAACTGCATTAATTTTCCAAATTGTATGGCGCTAGTTCCAAGAAAAAGGTGGGCTGCAATATATTTCCAAATCATTAGGGCAGTAATTTCCAACAAAAAAAAAAAAAAAGAAATAGGAGAATTCCAATTTCCAAGAATCTCATCCTCTCTTTATTGATTTCAAAACCTGAATCTTGCTTTTACATTTGTTTTATTTTTAATCAATCATCCATGTGTTAGGATTAGTTTCTTGTGAATAAATTAGTAGCTAGTGCTTAATACCCCACTTCCCTATGGATCGATAACATGGTACTCCAGGTATTATTTGTTTGAAAAATATACTGCACACTATTATTTGCGGAGGAAAACTTGTGGGAAGGTGAGTTGGACGGCCCTGAAGTTAGATATAGCGAAGGCTTACGACAGGAAGGAGTGAGGTTTTTTTAGGAGGATGTTGTTGGGTCTCGGGTTTGTAGAGAAGTAGGTGGAGTTGGTTATGACTTGTGTTGCCACTGTTAAATATAACATAATGGTTAATGGGGAGGTGGCTGGTTCAGTTGTTCCTACTCGGGGTGTTAGGCAGGGGATCTATTATCGCCTTATTTTTTCATTATTTGTGCAGAAGGCCTGTCTTTACTATTGTAGCAGGCTCAGGGGAATGGTAGTATCCATGGTTGTAGGGTTGCTCGGGGAGCCCCACAGTTTCGCATCTTTTTTTCGCAGATAACAACCTTTTCTATTTTTTTTTTTTAAGGCTAAGGCTAACAAGGCATTGGTAGTAAAACAGTGTTTAGAAGTTTATGATGGCTTGTCAGGGCAGTTGGTTAATTTTTACAAGTCTAGTATCTGTTTTAGTAGGAACACGAGGGAGGAGGATAAGGAGGAGCTGGCGAGTATTTTGGGAGTGGTGCAGGCGGAGGATTATGGGAAGTATTTGCGTTTGCCTTCGGTGCTGAGAAGGAATAGGAAAGCAATTTTTGCCTACATTGAAGAAAAACTGGGTAATTGTATAAGTGCCTAGAACAATAGATTACTGTCTCGAGCTGGTAAGGAGGTTTTACTAAAAAGTGTTGTTCAGGCTATGCCTACTTTTGCTATGGGTGTGTTCTTGTTGCAATCTTTTTGTGAGGGGTTGGAGAGAAAAATGAACAAGTTCTTGTTGGGAGATGTGGTGCAGCTAGGGGTCGAATACATTGGTTAGCTTGTGACAGGTTATGTGTGCTTAAGAAATTTGGAGGGCTTGATTTTAGGCGCCTCCATGCTTTTAATCTAGCCCTGTTGGCAAAGCAGGGTTGGAGACTTTTGACTAACCCAAATTTCCTAGTCTCTCGTATTTTTCAGGCTAGCTATTTCCCTCGTGGTTGTTATTTGGATGCGTGTTTGGGGAACAATCCCAGTTTATGTTAGAGAAGCATTTTTTTAAGGTAAGTCTATGGTTTTTAGAGGTGTCAGACGCAAAATTGACAATGGTCGTACCACGTCGATTTGAGAACACCCTTGGCTCACTGGTTCTGAGGGAGGAAGGATTCTGACTCCACAGCATCAGTAATTAGAGAATATTACGGTGGATAATTTAATTGATGGCCATACAGGTAATTCGAATATGAGTTTGTTGAGGAATATTTTCAGTGAGGCTGATGTAGAGACTATTTCTAGTATCCCTATTAATTTAAACTATGAAGATTTTTGGTATTGGTATGGGGATATTAGGGGTAATTATTATGTGCGGGCTGGTTATAGAGCTTTGATGGGAGATTTTGTGCAACATGGTAACAATTTTACTGCATGGATGGAATAAAATTTAGAAGTTGAGTGTTCCCCCTAAATGTAGAAATTTTGTTTGGAGAGCCGCTTGGGAAGTTCTCCCTACTATATTGTGCTTGAGACAAAGAAGGGTGAATGTTGAAGTTAATTTCCTTATTTGTAGACAGGAGATTGAGACCTTGTTTTTATTTTTTATTTTTATTTTTTTTTGTCATTGTATTTTTGCAAGGAAAGTGTCGCAAAGGATGCATTTGCAACCGGCAGATCAGTTAGTGGAGTGGGGTGAGTGGTTGAGTTATGCGCTTGACATGCAAGGGCAGGATCATGTAGAGTTGATGGTGACAACAATGCATGTTGTGTGGCAGGAGAGGAATGCTGCTGTTTTTTATTGGTTTGTGCGGACTCCATGGCCTGTGTGTGAGGTAGTGTTACAAAAAAGGGATTAGAGGACTGGCATCTTGCATAGAAGGCAAGAGGTGTCTTCTGCTGTTGGCCTGGGTATACAGGGAAATTGGTGGAGTGTTTTGTAGATGCAGCCTTCAACCATAATTCATGCAATGCATATGGTTTTTGGCTGCAAGCTGTTGACGGCTCCATGGTGGCAGCGGCCGGCGTGTGGGTTGTTATTCGGGGCGGAGGATGCGCACATGGCGGAGGTATTAGCTTGCAAGGAGACTCTCTCTTGTTTAAAAAAAAAACAATGAGTATTCCTGTGTTCTCGTCCACTCAGATTGTCAGGTTTTATGTTCGAATTTGGTTAATCGTTTTACTATTAATTCTTATCTTGGTTATGTTTATGATAGTTGTTTAGCTTTGCTTGGATCTTTAGATTCACGTTAGATTAGATTTGTGAATCGGTCTGCGAACCGGGTAGTTCATGCTTTTGCAGCAAATGTGAACTCTCCATTTGTTTCTAGGGTCTGGGTTGATACCGCTCATGAGTGTGTTGCTCATTTGTTTCATGATTAATGATATTCTTTGGTTTACTTTCAAAAAAAAAAAAAAAAAAAAAAAAAAAAAAAAAAAAAAAACAAACAAACAAAAAGAAAAGAAGAAAGAAAGAAAGGGTTTCCTAATAAATTAAATAATAATTTAGAAAGTAATAAATTTTTGCAAGAAAGGACACGATCAATATTAGTCATTTTTTTTAATGACATGATACTTCTCCTTCACCGACGGTGTATAGCATTTATATACAATTATTATTGCGTGGAATGTGGTCCACACAATTGTGTGGACAACGGTCCAAAAACACATAAAGTACATTATTCAAACTCATTTTTAATACATTATTGTAATACATAAA